GTATGAAATCTAGCCTACTTTTTTTAGACTCTACTAGGACTTTTTAAAAATTTTTAAAATAATTTTAGATGTAAAGGAAAGATACAAGATAGTATAGAAAGTACTACCCGGTTTCCCACAAAGTTAACATCTTGCATAACTGTGGTAAATTTGGCAAAACTACTGCACTTGTATCATTTTACATTCCCACCAACGACGTCTGAGGGATGGAATTTTTGATAGATTACAGATAAATAGGTAGATAGGTAGGTAGAATATTAGAAGTAAAAGCTAATAATTTTTAAAATATATATATTTATGCACTAACTTAAGGTAAAATAAACTGAATGAGTTTTTAAATATATCTTTATTAAATTAATTTTTTAAAAAATACAGTGAGAATAAGGGCTTTGCAACTTTAAACATTTTTAAAATATTTTTGCAATTCTTCTGACAATAGAAGGCAGCTGTATTTTCATATCTGCTTCCAAATACAATCTTATGCAATATTACCTGTTGTATAGTCTCTGGAAAACAATGTACACTGAAATAACATCTTAGTATTGTTAAAAGAATAGTTCTGAACTCTTGGACCCTCTGAAAGTGTGTCAGAAACCCCCAGGTACCCTGAACACACCCTGAGAACAATTGTCCTAGATCTGGTACATCTTTAAAGTAAAGGTATCAGATCTTCTTCCCAAGTTAGAGTATTTCTAAAAAAGATATATTCTCATAAATACCTATCTCATTACTGTGAGAGAACCAAAGACAGAATAAGTGCTTGATTCTTTCCATTTATTTATTTACCAGTTTCCAGGAGAATGAAATGAATTGTTTATATAAGTTCTTGGGTGACAATGAGTTAGTTTTTGCATGACTGCATGACTCAGGAATTTCAAACATATTTGAAATCCTTGACTCTATCCCCTGGCCATTGTTTCTCTTGAGGCTCAAATTGTCCCATCCGCTACATGGGGTCCTTTCCACATGAGTCACTTCTCAGTCCTTTCAAATGTGCTTTCATAACCTAGCTCTCCATTATTTTCTGTTGTGGCTAAGTTGTTCTAGACTCTTGAACCAAACTAGAAATTCGCCATTTCTCCAAGGTGCTCTGGCTCCTTTTAGTGGAAAAATATTATGTGGAAGACATAATCTAGTGTGGTTTCTGGGTTTTGTAAGTGGCAGGATCTGTGTTTTTCCTAGTGATGAGTTCATACTTACACTTTCAAGTTTAGAGCTACAGAGTTTTACTCATCTATCTCACATTAACTCCTCTTCTCCAACACAGAATCCTGACTCCTAGTGAATCAGCACAATTAGGTATCACCTAACTCAACCATACACTCTACTGTTCACCTGTCCCACTATGCACTAAATTTCAATAACTTATACTCACATGATAGTCTTATAATAACAATAAAATCACTACCATCAACAGTATGATTATTGAAAACAATTTACAATTTGTTTTCTGCCCCTTGGGTCTATCCCCTGGAGATAAGCCAATTGTTATGCTTTAAAGTAGCTTGAAATAGTCCGACTTGTGTTCTGTCACAAACTTGATAAGTGGTTATCTCCTTGTTGCATTTTGCTTTCAATTGTTCCGAACTGAGATTCTTGTTTGTTTGATTTATAATATTGTGAAATGCCCAGGACATCCTGAATGCCAGAGTAAGGAGCTCAGTAAATCCTTTCTCCAGAAATCGGCGATAATATGGGACAACATTCTCAATATTAGCTATTTCAGAATTCTGGAAAATGACCAAAGGGATAAAGCAGATTGAGAAGGCCTTATTCAAGAACTACCAGGACCTCAGCAAGAGCAATGGGGTCCTGTGGGTTCGTCACCAGTTGTGGGTTCTGCCCAGCAGAAGTCCCACCGAGACGGAATGAATTACTCAAGACTGTGGAAAAGTCAAGAGAGCGAGAGCGAGTCGGGAGCCAACTCCACGAGCCTCTCAAATCTCCCATATTTACTGAGTACAGTCCAAGGAGGAATGCAGGAATTTAGGGAAGGACAGGGTGGGATCACAATGAGTACAAAGGCTTTGTTTATTGTTGGTGTTTGCCTCAAGGTCAGGAGACCCTTTTTGGCAATCGTGTTCGTGTGGATTCAGCTTATCGGGGCGGAATGTATGAGAATCGGCTGCTTGGCAACTTGGACTCAGGCGGCTGTGCCCGTCTTAGGTTGCCCCCCTCAGGGGATCTTATCCGTCATTGGCTAACCAGCCTTCTCACCTCTGAGTCTGCAGCTTTTTGTAACATGTTTACCATTCCAGCCCAAGGCTGTTTTGGGGATAGAAGACTATCTAACAGCAGGCACGCCCAGCTTTTATAGCCGAGGGCCTGGCTCGTTGCTAAAACCTCAAGGCAGTTACTAAGCACATCTTCTTTAAGGAGATAAGCGGCTGGGATCTGTTACAATTTGTTAACCCAATCATGGGCTCCCACAGGGTCCACTTAACATGGGGCTGCTCCCTCCCTTCCCTTGGCTTGGTGATGCTGTAAGCGGAGGACCAGCAGTCTTGCTGTCACCAGAAGGGAACCCCCAACTTGAAACTCCACAGAGAAGCCCTACGCCCAGGCAAGCTGTAAACAACAGTAAGGACTGCGACAAAAATCAAAGGACCGCACGACGGCTGCCTGAGGCTGCAGTACTGCTTGAGGTAAAGAAGAGACCAACCAAAACTTCACAAAGACATCTGGGAAAGGAGACAGTCACAGTGGACTTCGATAAGCTCCCACTTATTCCCAGAGGTTTGGAAGCTGCGCACAAACTAAGGAGAGACGGAAGAGGACCACAGTTACCTACTTCTCCCTGGCCAAGCGTGGCACCTTGCACAGAGGAAAAGCAGAAGCCGGGGAACAGATTTGTAAACTGCTTGAATGGTAAGTGTGTGCACGTATCCCCTTAGCAAAAGATGGAAGCTTTACCGGTTAAAGTTAAAAGCACAACCAGTGACAAATCACTGGCTACTAATGAGCTACGTTGACACAGGAGGGACTCTTAGGAGGCCAGGAAAAGAAAAGGAAAATAGAAAGAGGGGGAGGGGAAGGCTGGGGGGTGGGGGGTGGGGACAGAAATAAAGATAGAGTAGAAGTAGAAAGAGAGTGAGAAGGGGAGAGGGAGAAGGAAGGGGAGGGAAGAAGGAAAGAAAAGAGATCTATTTAAAAATGATTCTTCAGTGGCTACAAACAGCCGGGCTGCCAGAATTGACAGAATTAGTCCAGACAGGTAACTAAACAAACAAACAAAAAATACAAAAAAGAAAGTCAAGATGAAACAACAATAATGAGTTTATTTGAAGAGCCTCAAACTAGAAACAAACCCAATAGTCACTGAAGAGTGGATGGAGAATTATATATATATATATAGTATATTCATACATGGAATTCTATTGAGCAAAAACAAGGAATAGACGACCAATACACTGATAAGAAACATGGATGACTTACTAATGTATGCTAGGTGGAAAAAAATTCCAGCTACAAAGAGTATATACAATTTGTTCCATTTTGGTAAAATTACAGAAAAGACAAATCTAAATGTACCTAGCATAACGCTTACCAGTAGTTGCAATGATGCCTGGTTGGTGATGCGTTTAAATACAAATGGGTACAAGGGATATTGGGGTAATGGAAATGTTCTGTATCTTGATTGTGATCATGCGTCCATGGGTTTATACATCTGTCAAAATGAACGGAACCGTACACCTAAAATACATGGATTTTATTGTATATAAATTTTACATCTGTAAAGTCGATTCAAATTTTTAAAAAGAAACAGGAAAAAATTGTGGCCAGTAAAAAGGAAAAGGACAGAGTGAAGAATTAAACGTAACTTCAAGCAAGTAAGTACAGTCTCGATAGTTTTCTCCCCGACCAGTTTACAAGTTAGTGAATATGCCTGTCTTGTATTCAGTGCTTAACCAATAGTACTTGATTAGTGAATGAAACTTAAAGGAATCAACGTCTAGGCAAGCGTATCTGGGGGGTTTGTTTTCCACATACATCCTTTGCCTTGATCCCACCCTCATTTCCAGGACCACTTTCTGGCTCCTTTTTCTTAACCATTCAGTGACACATCCCTTCACATGTGGTCTGCACACTCTTTCTCTCTTTGTGTTTGGAAGACGTTGGAAAGAGTTGACTAAATGTATTCAGAAAACAAATTTGGCAAGGAGCAAAACTGCATTTTTCTTTAAGAGTTTAGAGAGAAAGTGAGGAACCTAAAGGAGTATGGAATTTCCTACTCAAGTGAAAACATTTAAACAAGAGAGGAAACAGCAGAGTTTCAAATAGTACAACGATGTCAGGAATGAAGATAATGAGAAAAGCCTGTCAACATGGCAGCGAATCCAACTTGGATATGGTTGGTTGGTTCTGGTTTGATTTCCGCTGAGCACTGACTACATGCAGGTCATTGTAGTTAAGTGCTACATTGGTCATAATCCTTGTCCCAAAGGAGTTTAAATACTAAAAGGGGAAGAAAGACCCAAGAAGCTGCAATTCAGTACAAGAAGTAGCGTACACATGGAGCAGGGTACAGCTGAAGTGCTGTCTGGGTTCAGACCAGGGAGAGACTGCTTCCCCCTCCGGACCAGGGAAGCCCTCTGGAGAATGTGACATCAGAAGTGGGCTTTGAAGGGTGAGTTCTATTGAATAAATGGAGATCACAAGGAAGGTATTCCACAGAGAGTTACAGAAATTAAATTAGTTTATATTAACAAATGATTATAAAGCAGAAACAGAAGAAAAATTAAATGCAGAAGAGAAAGGATGACATCACTATGGTGTCCTAGGTTCCTGGGCTGCGGGATTCTCACTCCAATCAGGGTGGCGTGGTGAGGACACTCATGGGATGCTTTGATAGGAGCTGTGAAACGAAAGAAATGGGGAGAAACTCTAAGTTGGAAGCGGTGCCTGAGGATAAGAGGGAGTGATCAAGATATGGAAGCTAAGAGAACTAAGATGGAATATTGAAATCAAAAATTGGGACGAGAGGAAGAAACACAAAGAACTCACCAGTGCTTTTTAACCCATAATGCAAGGACCATTAGAAGCACTAGAGGAGCAATCACTGCCAAGGCGATCAAGTTCATGGGGAAGTGATGTCCTGTGAGTATTAGAGGGACACAGATGTCACAATAAACCCACTGCCAACCTTCCTCCATCCACTGATTTCCCTACCTTGACATAAGCGCTGCCTGCAAGTCCCAACCATCATCCTGTTTAGTCACTCTGTTCTCATACCTGTTCAGGGAAGGGTTCCTCGTCTCCCCACAAATCTCTTACATCTGAGTGTCCCTCATGTTTCGTTCCTACATTTCTGAAAACACCTCTGTTAATTCCTTCTTAGTATCTCTCTCACTTAATGTTGGCATCATGAGACTTTCTTCTGACCTACCTCCCAGGCTCAAGAACCACCTTTGCACCCTTATAAATCCAATCGTACTCACCCCAGTAGAGAATGATGTCCTGGTCTCCTAGACTGCTGTGCCTCACCCGACAAGACAGGCCAGCTGCCTCCTCGGCCGCCACGTGCAGGATCGCGCGAAGGTACCAGGTCCCGTCAACACTGGGCAGGATGTCACCTTGCTGAGTGTCTGACTGCTCCTGTTCACCCCGCATCCACATCACCCAGATAGGCTTTGGGTAGTAGCCAGAGACGTGACAAACCAGCAACAGCTGATCAGACCCAAGGATGGGGCTACTGGACAGCCAGGCCTCGGGTTTCACTGCAGAAGGCATGAAGGGTATTCAGATGAGGACTCCAACAGGCAGCTTAGGGACAAATTACCCACATTAATATGCACATACTATCTTCCTCTAAGACCCTTTTGCCCACCAACCCCTCTCCTTTTTAAACTCTTCCTTGTCCTAATTTTGGAAGGGATGGTGGACAGAGACAAGACATAAGAAAATCTTACAAGAGGCCGAACTAACCTTGTCTCTGGAGATACATCTTCCCTGCATCGAGAAGACCCAAGAGAAATCGGGAGCAGGTGTTTCCTATGAGCTTATGCACCGTTTCCTTGATGCCTTCATACTGATTGAGGAGATTACAGGCTCTCTGGGCCCTTCCCTCAGTCTCTGGAGCCGGCACCCATGACATGCTTTGGAAACTCAGGAAATCTGATCCTTGAAAGGCTACCTGGAAGAAGCCTTCTATGGTGTCCCTAGAACGCAGCTCACAGCCAGCTCTCATCTGTAACTCAAAGGGGTCTGGGGAAAGAGAGGAAGCAGAAAGACAGATTAGTGAAGAAATGAGAGAAACAATATAAGAACCTGGGGCTTTCTGTTAAAAATGGAGCAATGAGAAGATTTTATAAGGGTGTGAGGGTGAGCCAAAGATCAGGGACACGGAAGAGAAGAATTGGTGGAATGGGGAAAGGGGCGCAGGGATGCGTGCCAAGAATGCAGGCTTTCACGTGAACAAGTTAGGGGAAGGTGGAAGGGGAAGTACGTGGTACAGGTCAGGGGAGGGGGAAGAGGAGCTCGTGTGAGAGGGGTAAGAACAGAACATTCCCGGGTGCGTGCAATGGTCACAGTGGTTGTTGGACTCTGGGTATACGCTTGAAAAAACTGAATAGAAGAAGAGATCATATTTTAAGGGGCTCAAACAGAGTGGGACAATCATGTACCTCTGGGCTTTAGGCCATAGGAGAGAGACCCCTGGGGAAAGATTTAAAAAAAAAGCACAAGATAAAACAAGTCCAGAAGGAGCAAGAGTGTGGGAAATCTTAAGTCAACATCCATAATAACCCCCAAGATATGTATGCATAAAGAGCTTTATGGTGGGGTAGAAAAAATGGAAATGGTCCCAAAAAGTGTGGGAATGTTTTCCAGAAAGAGAAGAAATTTCTGAAGAAACCCTTAATTGAATGAATTGAACTTACATTCAAACTGCAGTTGACTGGCATAGTCTTGAATCTCCCGATTTACTCCAATCAAATAGACATGGAATAGCATGTTCAGCTGTGTCAACTCCTCATTGCTGAAGTTGCCCTTAGACCATGGGCGCAGGAAAATTATTTTGCCTGCTTCACTCTCCCAGCCATGAGTCTGCAACTCATCCAGCCAACCAGAGCCCTGATTCCGTGACCAGGACTGGTTGGCAAAGGATGAGATCTGGATCAAATAGAATGAGGTGTATTCCTGGACTGCTGTGGATCGTAGATGGTCAGGTACTTCAAGGGAAAATGGGACAAGCAGAAAGGAGAGAAGATGGAAAGTGAATCAGTTAGCAGAGAGAATGCCTTGAAGATGAAATTTTCCCGACCCAGGGCTCTATGCTTTACCATCATCCTTCAAAAGAGTAACCTGGACCTGGAGACAGGAATGCTCAGATTGTAAGCACTCTGGTACCCTTAGAATCCAGACCCATCTTGGGAAAGCCCACCACACTCTACCCACATCCACTCGGCTGGGCAGCTGACAGATGTTCTTACCGTCTGCACTGCCACCACCTGAGAGAGCAGCTAGTAATGCAAGATGCAGAAACAGCATGTCATTTACAGATGTTACTCCTTCCTTTCTTTCCTTCTGTTCTCAGCAAACCTACCCCTCAGTGTCTCTATTTGACTTCCTTCTTCTGTCAACCAGCAAAATCCTCCCCACCAATGACCAACCGCTGACTACGACAGAAAAAGTCTGCTGCTTCCCTCAGCCTTGGGCCTCCTACTCAGGCTCTCATTTCCCCTTCAGCTCTGACTTGAGGTTAGCTTCTAGCTGGATTCCAGCTACTCCCCTCATCAAGGGCCTTCATTCTGTCTACTTTCTCTCCTCAACTGCCTTGGACAAAGTTGTACGTGACATCGAAAGATCACATCACCTCTCTGGGACTTGCATCGGTAAAATGAAAAACTGAAAATACATGGCTTCCCCAGGGCCTGCTTGTATGAACAGATCACACTTCTTCCAGTTTCTCTGCCCAACTCTCTCCATTCTCCATCACGTTTCCTCTTCCGGGCACTCCCCTCTACTCTTCTCCTTTTGATTGTACTTGAAGTAGTCCCTTTCACTCCATCTTCCTCCACCTTTCCTATTTCTTAATTTTCACTGGCTCATTTATAAATAGGAAAATGTGCTTTCTCAGATCTTCTGGGATTGCCTTACACCACTGTATAAACTACAGTCAGCTCTCTATTACACTTAGAGATGAAATTGCAGCCATCCCAGAGTGCATAGGACCATGAAATACATAAAGAATAAGCTCTCCTGTTGAGTTTAATACATATGTTCACTTACCAAAAAATTACTCAACACACGCTTGGTACCAAGTATCTTAGTAGGTAAGAGAACACACAGAGATTGACAATGTAGTCCCTCTTATCAGGGAGCTTTCAACAGAAGATGTATGTAAAACCAGAGTCAACATTCATTGTGATGACTGCCATTTCAGTGTCTAGAATCTGAGATACAAGGCTGCTCAGAACAATATTCTCTAGGGAACATTTTCACTGCCTAAACCCCAAAATGTCCATAATTTGAAGTCTTGAAAGAGCAGAATGCTTTTCAACCTGAATGCAAAACTTCTGTGCACTGTACAACTATGTTGGATTATGGTAGTTAGGAAATGCACTGTCCCCCAAAAAGAGTAGCATTCCTTAATATTTGAATTTATTTAGGTAGAGCATTTAAGAAGTAGTTAGTGATTTGTCAATGATCCTGACTGGTTAATGTATATGAATACATGAACACAAAATTGTTTTAAGATCTAGGCAGTATTTCATTGTTATAGTACCCTTTTAATAACTTTAAGTAATTACTGAATGGCACCTAAAATCCCACTTATAACGTCATTTCTCTTTCAGATTTATCAACATTAATAAAACTTGAAGCTACACACCATGAGTACTTTCTATTAGGGACACAGATATTTGGTAATTTCTATGAGCTACAAACTCCTCCAAGAATTATACATAATCTAAGCCCCATCCAAACTGCTCACAAGTACCAGATCTCATCTTTACGAAGTCTTCTTCTCAGTGGTAAACTCTTTGTTTGTGACTTTCAGAAGATACAGCTGGTTTCAGAAGATAATGCTAGATTTTCAGCACATTTTCCCCCCATAGGCCAAGAAGAAAAACACAGTTCTCCAACTCTTTTGTAATTGCGGTGGGGCCACGTGACCTAGTTCTGAATGATGGAATGTGTTGTGCTGGAGATGTAAGCCACCTCCAGGTTTGACCATGTAAACTATTGCATCTGATCATTCTGCCTTGCAGTGCCAGCCTGGAGGTCATCTGTTCCACATGGAAGAGCTACAAGACACAGAAGAGCTCCCCGGCTTACCCGGAGTTTGCCTGTTGAGAAATATACTTTGTTGTGTTTAGCATCTAAGATCCTCCAGTTCATTTAACTGAAACACAATCTAGCTACACTGGTTAATATTATTGAAGCCAGTAATTAGCATGCTTTCCCCCTCCTGAGTTCAGATCCAAATAAGATAAAGATATAAAGCATTTGATATATGGATCACATTGACAACTTTACTTCTCAAAAAGCTTCTGGAGAAGTATGTAATCCAAATAATGTTGTTGATTGAAAATCAAATGAAGTGTTTTGTGTACAAGCCTTTCACCTCCTTGGTTAGATTTATTCCTGGGTATTTTATTACTTTGGGTGCTGTTTTAAAGGGGATTGTTTCTTTACTTTCTTTTTCTGTTGATTCATCGTTAGTGTAAAGAAATGCAACTGATTTTTGAAAGTTCATCTTGTAACCTGCTACCTTGCTGAATTCTTTGATCAGCTCTAATAGTTTTTGTGTGGACCTTTTAGGGTCTTCTATATATAGTAACATGTCGTCAGCATATAGTGACACTTTGACCTCTTCTTTTCCAATTTGGATCCCTTTTATTTCTCTCTCTTGCCTGATTGCTGTGGCTAGGACTTCCAGGACTATGTTGAATAGGAGTGGTGATAGTGGGCACCCTTGTCTTGTCCCAGATTTTAGTGGGAAGCTTTTGAGTTTTCACCGTTGAGTACTATGCTGGCTGTAGGTTTGTCATATATAGCTTTTATGATGTTGAGACATGATCCTTCTATACCCACTTTGGTGAGAGTTTTTATCATAAATGGGTGTTGAATTTTATCAAATGCTTTTTCTGAATCTATAGAGATGATCATGTGGTTTTTGTCCTTTCTCTTGTTGATGTGATGTATTACATTGATTGATTTGCATATGTTGAATCACCCTTGTGTCCCTAGGATGTACCCCACTTGGTCATGATCTATAATCTTTTATTTGCTGTTGGATTCTATTTGCTAATATTTTTGTTGAGGATTTTGGCATCTATATTCATCAGTGATATTGGCCTATAATTCTCTTTTTTTGTAGTGTCTTTGCCTGGTTTTGTTATCAGGGTGATGGTGGCTTTGTAGAATGAGTTTGGGAGTATTCCCTCCTTTTCAATCTTCTGGAAGAGTTTGAGAAGGACTGGTATGAGTTCTTCTTTGTATATTTGGTAGAATTCCCCAGTGAAGCCATCTATTGATGAAGGAAATTAAAGAAGACTTTAAAAAATGGAAAGATATCCTATGCTCTTGGATTGGAAGAATCAATATTGTTAAAATGGTCACACTGCCGACGGCAATCTACAGATTTAATGCAATCCCTATCAAATTAACCAGGACATATTTCACAGAACTATAACAAATCATAATAAAATTTATATGGAACCATCAAAGACCTAGAATTGCCAAAGCATTACTGAAGAGAAACAAAGAGGCTGGAGGAATAACTCTCCCAGACTTCAGACAATACTATAGAGCTACAGTCATCAAGACAGCATGGTATTGGTACAAAAACAGACATATAGACCAATGGAACACAATAGAGAGCCCAGAAATGAACCCACAAACTTTTGGTCAACTAATCTTCGACAAAGGAGGCAAGAATATACAATGGAATAAAGACCGTTTCTTCAGCAAATGGTGTTGGGAAAACTGGACAGCAGCATGTAAAGCAATGAAGCTAGAACACTGCCTTACACCACACACAAAAGTCAACTCAAAATGGAGCAAAGACTTAAACATAAGACAAGATACAATAAACCTCCTTGAAGAAAATATAGGCAAAACATTATCTGACATACATCTCAAAAATGTTCTCCTAGAACAGTCTACTCAAGCAATAGAAATAAAAGCAAGAATAAACAAATGGGACCTAATGAAACTTACAAGCTTCTGCACAGCAAAGGAAACCATAAGTAAACAAAAGACAACCTACAGAATGGGAGAGAATTTTTGCAAATGAAACTGACAAAGGCTTGATCTCCAGAATATATAAGCAGCTCATACGACTTAATAAGAAATAACCAAACAACCCAATCCAAAAATGGGCAAAAGACCTAAACAAGCAATTCTTCAAGGAAGAAGTACAAATGATCAATAGGCACATGAAAAAATGCTCAATATAACTAATTATCAGAGAAATGCAAATCAAAACTACAATGAGGTATCACCTCACACCAGTCAGAATGGCCATCATTCAAAAATCCACAAATGACGAATGTTGGAGAGGCTGTGGAGAAAGGGGAACCCTCCTACACTGCTGGTGGGAATGCAGTTTGGTACAGTCACTGTGGAAAACAGTATGGAAATTCCTCAAAAGACTAGGAATAGACTTACCGTATGACCCAGGAATCCTGCTCCTAGGCATATATCCAGAAGGAACCCTACTTCAGGATGACACCTGCACCCTAATGTTCATACCAGCACTATTTACAATAGCCAAGACATGGAAACAGCCTAAATGTCCATCAATGGATGACTGGATAAAGAAGAGGTGGTATATTTATACAATGGAATACTACTCAGCCATAAAAACAGACAACATAACGCCATTTGCAACAACATGGATGCTCCTGGAGAATGTCATTCTAAGTGAAGTAAGCCAGAAAGAGAAAGAAAAATACCATATGAGATCGCTCATATGTGGAATCGAAAAAAAAAAAAACAAAGCATAAATACAAAACAGAAATAGACTCATAGACATAGAATACAAATTTGTGGTTGCCAAGGGGGCAGGGGGTGGGAAGGGATAGACTGGGATTTCAAAAATTGTAGAATAGATAAACAAGATTATACTGTATAGCACAGGGAAATATATACAAGATCTTATGGTAGCTCACAGAGAAAAAAATGTGACAATGAATATATATGTATATTCATGTATAACTGAAAAATTGTGCTCTACACTGGAATTTGACACAACATTGTAAAATGATTATAAATCAATAAAAAATGTTAAAAAAAAAAGAAATAAAATCAAATGAAGTGGACTGACTTACTCACTGTTATAAACTGACTATTTGTGGCCCCCATTCATGTGTTGAAGTCCTAATCCTCAGGGTGGTTGTATTTGGAGACAGTGCCTCTAATAATTAAGGTTAAATGATGTCCTAAGAGGGAGCCTTATAAGAAGAAACCCCAGAGCACACTTTCTCTCTTCTGCCTCCCCTCTCTCTCTCTAGCCCCCACTCCCACCTCTCCATGTGCACTGA